GGGCGTGTGGCCAAGTCCTGCAACAGGCAGTGACGGCAGAAGCCGGGACAGGCTGCCTGGTGACCAAGGGGTCCGAGTGAGGTAAACGTGGCTCCCAAACCACCAGCATGAAAACATACAAACGCTTTTATTATTTTCTTTGTTTTCGTTTCCTCTTTAAATCTCTGATTGTTGAAAATATCCTTCGGTGACGTGCGGAGGGCGGGGACCGGGGCGTGAAGGACGGGGCAGCGGGGCAGGGAAGGTGACGGGCACCGGGCTGACGGCCGGAGGCAGGGAGGGCGGCTTCTACCCAGAGAAACGGGAGGACAGTATAAAGAAGAGTCCGGATCGGCGGGAGGCGCATCCCGAGGAGGAGCGGAGGGGGAGGCTCGTCGCGTGCCCACGTGGCTTCGCCCTCCGGTCCGACGGCTTCGGGGGGGACTCGCCCTCCCTCCCGGCCCCCCGGCTGGGCGCAGGGTCGGCGGGAGGCGGCGGCGGGGAGGTCAGTTGGAGGTATCGGAGTGAACACTGCCAGGGCCTTCTGTGGGGGAGGTCACTGAGGAAGGGGTGGTCGCATCCTGCCAAAGGCTCGTCGCGTGCCCACGTGGCTTCGCCCTCCGGTCCGACGGCTTCGGGGGGGACTCGCCCTCCCTCCCGGCCCCCCGGCTGGGCGCAGGGTCGGCGGGAGGCGGCGGCGGGGAGGTCAGTTGGAGGTATCGGAGTGAACACTGCCAGGGCCTTCTGTGGGGGAGGTCACTGAGGAAGGGGTGGTCGCATCCTGCCAAAACCAGCAGCTGTCACTGCGGCCGCCCAGTCCCGTCCTCAGAGGAGCTGGGTCGGCCCCGAGGCCCCCGCTGCTGTCACATGGTGTCTGCGCCCTGGGGAGGGACCCGAGGTCATGCACTCCCAACCCTTTGACCTTGGCTTCTCCTCGAGACAGACCAAAGGTCGCCCGAACGCTTCCTGCCGCCCTGTCCAGCTCGGGCCGTCCCCCGTGTGGGACTGACCTGTGCCAGGCTCTACACTACATGCCCCTGGGAGGTGACGACGGTGAACTGTGGGTCACGTCCTCCAGAGGCGCCGAGACGCGGCCCGTCCCCCAGGCAGATCGGGCGGCCCAGCCGGCAGGGGCTTCGCGCACGCAGCTCCCCACCGCCCGGAGGAAGGACAGAGGGTGAGTCGGGACATGAGACGACCGTGCGGAGACCGGGGCTGGCCGCGCGGAGACGCCTCGGGGGGGCCGAGACAGGGAGCTGCGCGCTCGGTCCAGGCCTGAGGCTCTCGATCCAGATGCTTCCAAGCAGTGGAACGCGCTGGGAGGACCCGTTTTAACAACCGGCCCCCCAGAAACGCCCCGCCCCGAACACGGGGGGACAGGTCACCACAGTGCTCTGCCGAGAGGACCCGTTTTAACGACCACCCCCCCAAAAAAACGCCCCGCCCCAAACACGGGGGGACGGGTCACCACAGTGCTCCGCTGGTGCCACACTCCTGGTCGTCCGCGTGTCTGAGGCACTGAGCGCCGGGACGCGCGTGGCTGAGGCGCCCCCGGAGGAGTGAACAGGCCTCAGCAGCGCCGGCGAACCCCCCGGTGTGTACCCCACTCACTTCAGTCCCCAGAACAGCTGGGGCCGTGGGGCAGGGCAGGAAATGACGGCCATTTGGGGGGGGGCCTCGGCTTGCACCCCAGCATCACCCGCGGCCCCTAGGGTGTCCTTGGCACCTGGCAGGTGCTGCTGGCGTCCGTGTGGAAAGAAGCCGAGGAGCAGGAGAGCGGCCGGAGCAGGACGCGGCTCCTGGCCTCCGACTCCGGCTGCTCATCCCCCGCCTTCGTCACCCCCCTGCGTCCCTCTGCACCGGCTCACCCAGGCGATGCGCTAGCTTTCCCGAGGGGCCAGGCTTCTCCTCCAGAGCAGCTGTCACCAGTTCCCCCCGCGTGAACAGGCTCCCGTCCACTCCACGAAGAGCAGACCGGACCCCACACTGACTGGACGCTGCGAGTGTGGAGGTCGCCCTCAGGCCCAGTGCCCGTCTCCCCTGGCTGGGGCAGCGGTCGCTCCGGGGGACGGTGGCGGGCAGGTCACCGGGGGACGCCGGCTCCTGTGCCTCGGCTGAGGAAATGGGGCATCGGGAGCGAGGCTCTTCCATACGTCCCCTGCTACGCAGCACAGCTACTGGACCTGGCGCTTGTCCAAAGCTGGGCTGGGTGGCCGTGTGTGGGCACTGCAGGCAGGGCACGGCTCCCTCGACGCCCAGGGCAGAGGGCAGAGGGCAGAGGGCAGAGGCTCCCGCTCCGGCCTCGGAAAGGCCTCTCGGGCCTCCTAGCGCCTTCCGGGCCGCCGTGCGTCTCGCCAGTGTGGGTTGGGACAGGGCTGTCCCCGCTCATGGCCCTCTCTTACACGCGAGTGGAGTCCAGGCCTGAGGGCTGCGTGGCACCACGGCACCCAGCCTGTGTCCCCTGCTGAGGGCACGGACGCCCTGTCACAAGCCGACCCCTCGGCCTTCTCTACCACGCACGCTACCTGGCGCCTAAGGGGCATCCGGTCGTGGCCCTCCACGTGACTGCCACGGCCGGGCCGCGTGACTGATGCACACGTGGGTCAGCTCTGGACCGAGATCCTTCCTGGCGCCTGCCCAGCATCGCCCTTTCCCGTCCGTCTGCTGCGAAGGCCCAGCACCAACCCCGCCACGCGGGGCACTGGAGAGACAGGACGGCCGGGCCGAGCCAAGCCCAGTTGCCACGGGAGACACGGTGTGCATGCCTCCACATCAGGGCTGGCTTTCTGATTTCTGTTAAAAGTGCAAATAGGGCTGTTACGCATGCGTGTCCACGTCCCGCCGTCGTGGGCTCCGTGCGTCCTGTGTCCACGCAGGAAGTTAACACCGAGGCGAAGAAAGGGCAGCTCAGCTTGCTCAGTGCTGGGAACTATTTATATCTGCAAAACCCCAAACACATCCACACTTCTACCCACTCGCACACGGCGTGCAAACACACACACGAGTCCCTCTCACTCGATCGTATTGTCATAGTGCTGACACACGGTCAGAAACTACAGCAGCTAAGGAAGGGGCGTGCGTGTGCACACACACACGCGCTGCGGGAAGTCGCTGTGCGAGCCGACTGCGGCCGCGTGTAGACAGATCTGATGACTCGAGCAGAGCACAGTATCTTTCACGCGCCACAGAGATGATCTGATTGGCCGATTCCACGCAGCCCCAAGTTCCTCATGTTATTTTTAGAGCCTTAGACTCCGCTTTGTTTGGCTGAAAGTCGGCCGTCGAGATCGCAGGTACACCTCCATGGGGCCGGCACCCAAAGGAACACGAGCGTGACCCTCGGTGGACACCTCAGAGCCGGCTACCGTCACACACGAAGCTGCAGCCCCCACGCTTGTCTGAGCGGCCGAGAGACAGCAATTACCCCAGATCATCACACCCACAGTGACATGTCGCATAGGGAGCGACACGGAGCCAACTCCACATCCCAGAGACTGGCATATTCAAGTACACGGAGGACACTAATAGCAATTTACGTGCCATCACTGAGACAAAGCCACAAAGGCTCCGCTGGCAGCCTCTTATTTTGAAGCCTATTATTTGTGGGAGGTACAGGCTGTAATCACAACAGAAACTTTCAAAACCCTTATCTTCCGTGACGCACCGAATCTATTTCAGAGCTGTAATTGCTATGTCACCAGAGAGTTTGCTGCTTAATGCACTCAAATGCCACTTAGTGTTTGCAGGGTCGTTACCGCCAACGGCGTGTGTATGGGGGGGTCCGGTGGGGACACGCAGACAGAGCGCATGGAAGGCCACGCAGACTGGGGGGGGGGCATGGCCTCTGCTGTGCCTGATTGATTTAGGGGAGGAGATTTTTGTTTTGAGAATTCCGTTTACTGAGAAAATAAGAGGAAGGGCTTGAAGACCATCGCCGCGCCCAGGAATTCCGAGGATGTCGGTGGACGCGGCCGGCGACACCCTCCGTCATTCTGGGGCTCGCCTCCCAGTGCGACAGCGGGCTGACTTTTTAAATTTTAATTTTCTTTCTCCTTTTAGATTGTCACAGAAATCTGTGCGGTGGACATTTTCCAGCTGTGCTGTGGCTCGGGCACTGGGGGGAGTAGGGCCGGGGGAACGATGGGGACTCGCGACAGTTCAGCGACCTAGAGGAGCGTGGACCTTGCTGGTGGTAAAGGAGATACAAGGGGATGGATGTGGCATCCAAACCAGAGAAAACGTCTCGTCGCTCAGAGACCATTTTCTAGATCTACGTCCAGCTAAGGTCCTAGAAGGCTTTAAAAACGTGTGTGGTTGTATTTTTCAACCCGGCTATAGCCTAGCCACGCCCTAGATGGCGACCCCTGATACTTGGGGCAATGCTAGGCATATGGGAAATCTTCAAGGACATATTTGACTCATTCGTCTCTAGATTCTTCTAGAAAACGCTCGGGTTCTATGTTATAGCCCTGAGTGTTTCATAGACTAGAAGCACAGAAAATGTTGTGCTAATTCAGAATGCAGGCTGATCTGTTTTTAAAAGACCAACACTAGAATCACCTATAGATCTGCATTTAGTTTTCCTGGGGTACCAAACCAGCTTCCACGCTGAAGGCCTCCCCACGGAAATGTAATGAGGCTGGGGGCGCCTCATGCCACGGGGCTCCCCTCCATTTAGAAATAGAGTTTTCTCTATTTTCTAAACGTTTCTAAGTGCGGAATGGGACAATGTCCACATTACGTAAAAGTTCTTCAAAATCAATAAGAAAAAGATGACCGTTTCAAGAATATACATATAAGGCTAATAGACATGAAAAATGTTCAATCCCACTAGTGAACAAAGAAATGCCAATTATAATTAAGTAAAATGAGACGCCATTTTGTGACTTAATAGTGGACAAAGATGCTAAGACATTGTCATCGAGCGTGTGAAGAAATGAGGATGAGCATAAACTGAGGGTGGGAATGACAAATTAATAGACGCTTCCAGAAGAATCCGCAGTTAATCACAAAGGCGTCAGACACATTCATATTCTTTGATCCAGCAACTCCATTTCTAGGAATGTATTCAAGGAAATAATAGAAAATATGCACTTGATTTTCTGTACTGTGATGTTTACCACAGTATTATTAATAACAGTAAAAAAACAGAAAACAGTTTAAATGTTCCATAGTAGAGATTGATTAAATAAATTACAGACTTTCCCTGTAACAGGCTCCTTACGCAGTTATGAAAGTAACGTTTGGGAAGAATGTTTAATGACATGGAAAATATTCTTAATGTATTTTTAGTAAAGTAAGTAGGTTACAAAATATCTTCAACACGATCATAACTTTTCCACACCCACAGAACACGCATTCTCACACGCGAAATGCTCGAAGGCGGCAGCCATTCCTCCTGTGCGTTTTCCTGCGTTTCCCAAACGTTCCGCGTGAAACGAAAAGGACACATAGCATGCGAACGAGGTGCGCCCAGCACAGTCCGCGTCTACTTCCGGTCTCTGGCTGCCGCTGTGAAAGAGGCCGGCACGACCAACCCTGCGGTCAGGTCCGGGGAGACAGAGGGGCAGCTGCGACCCGCCCAGGGAAGACAAAGGGAGCGCAGGCTTCTGTAACTCGTGGGACACGGGGACCCGTGACGGTCGTTGGTCAGCTGTGTGCCCCTTTGTGGGGTCTAAAGACGCAGGCTGGACGCGGCCATCAGCGGAGACGAGATGGCCAGTGCTTGAGAACAGGCACAGGATGTCGTGCTTATTTCCCCTGCCCTGATGCCCAACAGGTTGATGAAACCTTCGAGAAAACGCCCGCTGAACGAATGAGCGAATGAGCGAATGAGCGGAGAGATGAAGAAAGTGGGATCAAGCCCAAGGCCAAAGCTTGCCCCCGAGAAAGTGTGGGGCAGAGAAGAAGGAGGAAACAGGGCGTATACCATAAACGACGTCTGGCACGGCGGGGGAGGGGATAGGGCACAAGGGGTGGAGAAGCTGGAGGTCGAGGGTTTCCGCTGTGACGGATGGACAGAAGGAAAAACATCCATTCCTTTGTGGGAGGGACTCTGAACAGAACGCGAACGTGCACCTGTCTGTGGGATTCTGGGAAGGCAGATGAGCCGGCCGCAAGTCTGCCTGCTGGGGAGGGAGGAAGAAAGGAGGGAGGGAGGGAGGAGGAAGGAAAGGATCTTTCGGAGGGAAAGGGTAAGGAAAAGATGAGGCAGCAAAGGCCTCGTGACAACAGGTTCAAGCTGGCTCACTTAAACAAGCACGCGTTAAGCACCGACTGTGCACCAGGCCTGCACCGAAGGCTGGATGCAAGACGAGGATGCTTCTCCTCAGAAACCTGGGGCCCAGAGAGGCAGTAAGGCAAGAATCAGAAGGACCACGTGCCATCCCAGCCCACCAAGCCTGGTGCGGGCACGGGCTGGGGCCATGACGCCCCGAGCTCAGCCCTGGAAGCTGAGGAGGAGGACGACGAGACCTTTGCCCACCGCCATAGGCTCCGGGTTACGGACTCCGTTGCTTCCGAATTTCAACCATTCGTATGGTTAAAAACCTAATGGGAAGGCCAAGCTCACGAGGACGAGCCAGGGGGAGAGCCGCGTTCTCAGGACCGAGCTCTTCTGGAGCCTGCGGGCCAGACGGGAAGTCCCGGGCCAGGCGCCCGGTGACTTTCCACAGCAGAAAGAATCACACTAGACGAGCATGACGATGGACACCTACAGGCCTATTTTACTTCCCTTAAATTTTTTCTGTCATTTTCTGTCGTCTCGACTTTTTTGTTTGCGTTTCTAAAAACGTCCTAATTGTTTGAATAAACTCGAATTATATAAGTTAATACATATAAAGTGCCTAGCACAGAGGAAGAAGTCGATAAGTGTTAGTTATTATTACAATTATTAAATGTCGTTTTGGCCTGTTCATGTTCTATTCTTATTGTTTTTTAATTGTTCTTAAATTTACTGCTTTGCAGCACTTTACCACTGCTTGATCGGTTTCACAATCTTTGCAAGTACGTTCTCAGCGGACGTTATTTATTTTAACCGCTCGTCCCAGCTTATTTCGCGTTTATCGTTCCCCTCAGTACTCGAGCGTCTTGACTGCTGTCAGCCTTCACCTCGCCGTTTCCCGTGCACTCGGCTGATTCTCCTGCCATTCCCGTCCTCCCGCCGGCCCGTGTTTCGGCGGCGTAGTCGTCCTTCTTATTTCTGTCTTATTTCTTAGCTCTTTTTCAGTTTAAATGTCGGCGCGATGTTTTCAGTTAATTTTCCTAATTTTATTCGTTGTACCATCCTTGTCCTTTGTTGCGTTCACTCTTCCGACTTACTAAAGACGCCGCGTGTTCACTGTCGACAAAGAGGAGGGGCCGTCCTGAAAGAGCCCCGGCCCCAGGGAGGCGGGGGTGACCCCTCCTCACCCGCTTTGTGTTGGCCGGGGGCCGACTGCTAATTCCACAGCTGACGCCCCGAGTTCCTTCGGGACGACCTTCCACCCCCGACATCATTATCTGG